AAGGTTCTATACTGAGCCCACTACTGTTTCTTGCTTTTATCAGCGACCTACTAGGGGCCCTAATTCACATTCACTATTATATGCCGATGATCTGAAGACCTGGAGGGAAATACAGGAACCAACGGATATTTCGATCTTCCAGGAGGACCCTACGAAAATGCTTAATTGGACTACAGAAAACCTGCTTCCCCTCAACTCGAAGAAGTGTCCAATTATGATAGTTTGCAAACATAAAGGCAGTCCCGGTTCTTACTCTCTAGGTGAAATAAATATCTGTCACTTTAACATGGAACAAGATCTAGGAGTTAGACTAAATGATACGTCAGGAGCCTCTGTTCACTGTCGCCTTGCAATCAATAGGGCTTATGGAATCCTGGCGTTTCTCTAGCGAACCTTAGGGTGTCTAACTCCTCTTTTCACCACAGTGTATGCTCTGTACATTCGCCCTCATTTATGAAAGAATTCGCTTGTAATGTCCCCATACCTGAAAAAGGACATTGCCATCCTAGAAAGGGTACCGAGAGGAGCTACAAAAAAAGTGATTGGGTTACGGCACAAACCGTACCCAGACCGCTTAGTTGCTCTTCAGTTGCACCCAGCACAACACTGGAGGATCAGAGGGGATTTGATCATGATGTGCCACGTCGCCCATAATCCCCTCCATGCCGACAGATCCCTTCTAAGCTTTGGTCGGAAACGCGACTTGAGGGGTCACCCGTTAAGAATAGAGCATGAGAGAGCAAGTACAAAGATCCGTTCTAACTCATTTCCAGTCAGAGTCTGTAAACCGTGGAATTCCCTCCCTTCAGCAGCTGTTACAGCCCCATCCCCCAATACCTTTAAAAGGAGGCTGGACGCACACCTCGAAGCCTACGGTACCGATGGGATATACTCGAGAAGCTTTTCTCAGACCAGATTCGGTGATACTAACTTGAGACCAGATTGATTAATTAATCGTATCTTTATCCTTTCAGGTCTTTCAGGACCGGGAAGATAATTGTGACCACTCCAAACTCGGAACGTATTCCTATAAGACAGTCGTGGAACCCAAGGATCCGCAGTTCGCTAATTCTACAACACGAAGTCTGAGGTTTAGATAGGATAAGTGTGAAAATTGTTTGTGACGAAAAGATTTTTTCAACCTATTCGGCTAATATGGCTGAGCTACGGACTCCAAGATTGTAAGTTGGCCGACACAAATACGGGGCAAAATGGAGTCGAAGCCAGATCGAATGCACAATCGTTGATACAAAACTTAAAAACTTTAAGCATCTAGAGGCAAGCTAAAGGTTTATTTGGTCAATATTTGGTAGATTAAATTTAGTCTAGTTACCTTGGCCAGCAGTTGCACTTTGACGCCGAGAAGGTGCACAACAAATGGAGATTTGTGAAACGGTTAAATAAGATGCAAGTCGTCCGAAAGAAACCTAGGGTTTGCTTCTAGATGGAGGAGCACAAAATAAAGTGACCGATTTCAGCTGTGAAAAGTTGTGTGGTCAGGATGAACGATGCATGGGTGGGCATAACAGCTTGGGATAAGGTATTCATCACTCATTGGCGACAGGAAATTTGATTCCGAAAAATCTAGCTTATGTCATACTTATGTATTTGATAAGTCCTGAGGACTATAGCGACCCACCCGTCGAAAATCACAATAATAATAACAGCGATTTTCGTTTTCAGACCATGGGTTTGACACGGGAGACTCCAGTTTGCAGAATGGTGCTTTGTGTTGAATGATCGATGTATCAATTCATTGGTGTGCATAATCTTGCTAAGACTTGCTGCAGCTCATGAGACTTGCATGAATTTATCTTCTCCCATCACATAAATGGGTCCACTATCAGGACCAGAAGCGGGCAATGTCCAAAGTCTGCATTATAACCATCCATCATTCAGTTTCAGACTGTTTTTAGTTATAAGGGTAGGAAGCCAGTAGGCCTGTGTTGATTCTTGCAGGAAATATCTCCCTGAAGTTCTGATTTTTTCTTGAACGCGTTGACGTAAGGTGCTAGTACTACTTCCTGAGCTGAGGAGCTCCAGCCATTGACTACACGATGGGAGAAGCTCCGATTCACACTAAGCTGATTAGATCACGGATTTTGGACCTTGTTGCGGTGCCCTTAGAGATAGTCAGTCCACTTGGAACAACTGAAATGAAAAGGAGTGCTTGAAAACCTCACCAATGTTGTGTGTAAATGCTATCTACCAATCAATGGTGCTTTCTGATGCAATAAATGACAGTATCGCGCATGCTGAGCAGATGAATGAACCCCAATACAAGTATGCAAGCCCAGTGTGTATAAAGCACGTCTAACGGCATGTATTTTATGAACTTACTGGTTGAAATGAGGCAGTTTTGTCAACAAAATAAATTGCCGGGCTGAGCGATCACCTTCTGGTGGATATTTTCGAGCAAACCTATTACATAGGGTCACTTCAGTCTTCATGGACGTTTGTGGCCGCACATCCAGGCCACTGAGGGTGCCGTGTCCACTCCTTATGAACTCACATCTGCGGGTTATGAGACGATTTTGCTTATGTAAGCAAGCACTCCAACTTGCTCTAGACTCCCTTAATAAATTTTTTATTCACGTCTGTGCCTCCATCAGAAACGCTTCTGAATGATTGACCTTTGTGTGTGTTCCACAAGTTGGTCGGTTGTCTACATCCAGGCCACTCCTCTGAAGTAATGACGATTCCCGGGGCTTTCGCTGCAGCTAGACTCTACTGGCCACCATGGCAGTTCTGAATTCACCCTTCGAAAATTCAACACTTTCGTAGATTTGCCTTCAGTGTAGTCAAGGTAGTCTCGCCAGTGCTGTTATTTTCTATGATACTTTGCCTTCCTAGCCAGCCCTTAATCATGCAGTACACTCAGATCATTATCTACATATTGTTACCCACTTATGGGAAAGATAAAACTGCAGACAAGTGGGTAGATCTTATGTCGCTGAAGTGCTAATCATTCACATAAATTAAAGTTTGTGGGTTCTTCCGATGTGATCAGGTGTACCCTCAGTTAAAAGGAGCACGTGGCGCCTCAGAACAACCCATGGAAAACAATTAAGAATGAGTGGTATCAAGATTGGGCATCAGTAACAGCAAAGAAGTGCTGTTCGACGATAGATGTGCTTCTCTTTTTAATGAATGGCCCACATGTGAAGTTTCAACACTTTTCCTATATTTCTGATAGCCGCCTTTTACAGTCATGCTTCCAGTCTCTCAAAGTAGGAGTTTCATTGCCCCAGACAGAGCCATTTTTGAAGGACCAAATGTTATCCTATCAGGGGCAAGCAATTTTCCTGCACACCGATGGTTCAAACGCCCAGCAACACACCAGCATGCCTTGCTGGTATGTGACTACCACCACAAGTTCTTGTCTCCCAAAGACTGCTTGTCTTGCAGTTATAACCTAGCCATAGCCCAATTCTCCTTTGGGCAAGCTTGTCGACCTCATTTTTGTGGTAAGGCCTGCCGAAAACTGGAGTGGACTTAGAAAAATAAAGAACGAAGAGCGGGCAACAACTCTCCCATTATACGTCATTTACTGAGAACCCGAAACGAAGAACTCTAAGTAGTTAGATTCCTTCAGATAACCCGCTAGATTAACAGCACTACTATAACCCGAACATGGTTTATTCTGTATATCGTGAAGTTTGGGCATAGAATTTTGGCATTTTGATAGATTTTAACTGTTTTGAAATGATATGTTTCACAGATCCCACTGTGATACAGCGTTATTTACCAGCTTTGTCGCCTAATGTCAGCAGTGATGCGCATTACACAAGGCGTGGCAACACCACACATAATCCCTCTGGGTATGCGGCTTTTTGGACATTATTAGTCGCAAGTATTAGATGCAAACCATTTCACCACGCAAAAAAGTGGAAGGAATCCGTGTAACATCACTCAGTGTTAGTAGTAAACTGGAGATAGCGGCTGCCTCGGACTACTCTTCAGCTAATACGAGTCAAATAATCACTAAGAGTACGTGAGATATCAAACGTTCAGCACGGATGAAGCTGGAAACAGGGAAATATTCAGTTAATTTGTTTCGTCCACAGATAGCACGCGAAACTGAATTTAAGCACCGGGATAGTCGGAAGATGAAATTTGAAAGCAGAATTGTACGTATTGCATCATACAGTGTGCAGGAATTCTTTAGGTCTGTGCTGTTGTAAACTGAGTCGTTTAAGTAAATTCAGCCGACGAGACAACTAAACATCGGTGTGAACACTGGGAATATGCTGTCTTGGCCTAGAGGAACTCAAGTTTGCGGAGGTTAAGCACTCCGTGATAAAGCAAACAGGTAGAACTAATTTTATGGTTGCCGACAAGGGCAACAATTTCTCAGTTGTGCGACCCCCATAATTTTATTTCCTCATAGTCCCGAGTGGAGAACGTGGATGAATTAAGTTTCTGTCCCTGAAGTATGGTCTGCAAAGTCTACGCACTCTAACGAACAGGATGCACACTAACCTTCTCACGATGAAGATCTGGATGCCATTTAACTAGAGAAGAAAGATGCCAGTAACCGCGTCTGCTGATTTCTTCCGAACAAGGTTGGACATCCGCTTCACATCCAGTAGTAAAAGAATGCACCATGGGAGCCTTTCGCTCATGGATAAAGTGGTAGTCAGTGACACCTGATCTCCCCTGTCTTTGGCGACCCACATTAGGATCCAGGGAAAAAATGTGGCATGAGGAATCCCTCTAATACCTCAGATGTTAAAAATAGGAAACTTTCAGTTTGCTATTTCTTCAACATGAACTTCGAACGCCTGTCTAACTCGCTAAAGCTACAACAGATGGGTAACCAAAATGCCTTCTTTAGGCTCACAATATTTTCAAAGTCAAAATCTGAACGTAGAAAGTCACTTGATTTATACCAGCTACTTGTAGACTTATTGGATATTGGCGGACAGCCTTGACATGACTCGTGGTAGTTTGAAATACTAGCAACTAAGTGTTTACCGTAACACTCTCTAGAGTTGTGCATGGCTGGATGGAACAGTTTGATAGAAGAGGCTTTGTCAGACGAAGGAATTATTTCCGAAATAAAATCAGTCGTTTGCAGTGAGGATAATAACATTGTTTGGGGGTCTAAGCATCAGTTATTGGAATTGTTGAGATCCAAAGGTGTTATTGATATGTTAGTTTCCAAAGTCAAGTCGAAAAGACAGCCGAAACCTTCACTAAAAGCTGGTCAGCTATACAACTCTAGTCTCCAGAAATATACTGACAACTTTGAAAGTTCTGTAGAGTATATTTCACACAATCTTGGTGCAACTTTGGTGTTAACACTGGAGGTCTTACAAGGAAGAGCGTTTACAACTCACCTCCAGACGTACGAAGATGTTAAATTTGAAGAATCCAAGGTTAATCATGCTGATTTGCAACTGCATATCTCATATAGAACCTCAAGGTTTTCCAGTCGAAACTTTCGCTGTTCAACTGAGCCTGTTATAAATCAGTACTTTTGCTTTGTGCTACTTTCTGGTGACACCAATAAACAAAATGATGTGAGTTTTGCTCCCAGTGACTGTGAGTCACATATATATATATATATTTATATATATATATAGTCTGATCATCTGATATCAACATCAATAGTGCGAGAAGAAGGAACTAATAGTTTTCTAGCTCTCGCTTCTAGGCCTTGAGAGTCTGTTATTTTAATTCGGTAATTCTCCTTCGGTAATATGATTGCAGTGTGTATACTTCCAGTCAGACTGATTTCTACTTTGATTGTAGAGCTTCTTTACGCAACGTACTTTCAAGCAGTTTATACAACTTTTCCAAATTTGTCTGCGAAAACTGTACGAAAGGTTTTTGAGAGCTTCTGTCGTGAAAACTTATTTCGATTATTTAACTGTAACCGCGTAGGCCCATTCCACTCAGGTACTTCATTGTCTTCTTTTAGTTTCCCATAATAACTACGGCACAGAAGTTTATGTGATTCAAGCTAGGTTCTTGTGACCCCACATTACAAGGAAATGTGGCAGTGACGACATTCAGTTTTCAGGATTAAGGATTCTAGACCAAGTAGTCTGTATTAATCCTGGCTGCATAAATTTTTGTGAAGACCCAGTTTATCTTTGAAAATGCTCATCGAAGGAGCAGCCACTACAAGTTCCTGTGATAAATTCCAGTCATTGACCACCGTATGAGAGAATATGACCTCCACTTATAGTTTATTCGACAGTAGCTTTTGAACCTTTTCTGGTGATTTCCTAGATAATCAGTCCTAGTAGGGGTAAGAAGATAGAGATCGAAACCTACGTCGTTGCTAATGATACTTTAGGATTTGTCCTGGTGCGAACTTGACAGACGCAAAGACCAATCACTAATTATTCGAACTTGTTATATACCCACGAATACGAGACCAAGGAAGAACGCGATAGCGTGGTCGGATGGAATAGTATATTTGGACAGTTATGCCAAAATACCGATGCGTTCCAACTAACTGGCTACAGAGTCGAATACGAGCAGTGCAACGTAACACGACAGCGTGACAAATGGCGAGGATGCTTGACCGGGTGCCTTCAGCTTAGCGAGTCCAGTTAAAGTATCAGGGTCAGCATCAATGTCGAAAGTGGTCAAACCCTAGGCTATTGATTTCGGGGAAGTGTGTGACGCTACAATACTATATGCTAATATAAAATCTCTTCTTCCTCAGGATTTGATAATTGGAAGAGATTTCGAATTTCCAACCGCCTTTCATAGAAAAGATGCGAAATCCCTGTCAATGACTTAGTACCCACCCTTTGTACCTGTTCTGAAGTGTCTTATCCTTGTTTGAAGCAAGGACCAGCCGCTTGTGTACATTATCCTAAATGAGGTCTTGAGAGGGACTCCATGCGCTGATTGCATCAAGCACACTGCATGTTTTCATTGTCTTTTTCAAGAATTTGACAACGCAGAATCTTCAAAGTAGAATAAATGTTGTAGAGCTATCGTGTATAAGTGTGGATATCGTAGTTTCTTACCTACTATTATTTTGATGAAGCTATTAGTACTCAAAAACTTGATATGAGTAGGAGCAACTCTGCTTCAGTTTTCATCCATCGGGGAGTTTAAATATCATGATAATGGTTATCATTTACCCAATGTTTACTCTCTTTCAAACAATTAAGTCTCATCTTGGTTTAGGTTCCTATAGGTGGTACAAAAGATGTTTGTTGTTGCTATGGCGGTGCTAAAAATATTTTAGTCTCATTAGAGTTTAAAGCTGTTTCAACAACTTTCGCCACATTTACGGGGGAACACTTCATAAATTTGTCTGCTTCATTTAAAACATTTTACGTGTTAAAGTTTGTTTTTGCTGATTTTCAATGCTTACTTCCATTCTTGCCGGCTCATATTTTTGCATTTATCTTTTTATTCAGGTTTACGTTAGGGAAGGTTAGTGAAAAGAGCTCTGAGATAGTAGAACCTACTACGAAAATTCGATAATATGTACATCGTTTTGGCAACTTTGGTGTTGGGTGCGAAGTCCTTTACTTATATCAGTAAACTCTGGATTAAAAAGTCATATCATGCCGTCTGAACAGACGCAATGACCAATCACTAATTCATTGTGCTCATAGGGTGCCGACAAATGCATGTCTGAATAAAACAATAATATATACGCTGCTAAGGTATTGTTTATTTGTGATACATTTCAAATGTGCCGAGATGTGTCAACTAGCTGGCTAGGAGGGCGTGAAGGAGCAACAACATGTGACGTGACAACCTACCGACTGGTGTGGACGCTTGTCTGTGTACCTTCAGCTGAGAAAGTGTTAAAACTATAAGGGTTAACATCAATATATCGTTGAATTATTGCTTTTTTAAGCTATTTGCCGCTACATTATGTTAGAAATACTGAATGATCTGGAAAAAGTAATCTTCTGCTGTTTTTTGAATCGCTGTACGCTCTGATCTAGCTGTAGAACCAGTGAATGCGACAGACCACGTGAAGTCCTGACCGATTACCAAAATTATTTATAGGTGACATATTTTTTGTGTTTAGTGCAATCTTACTAGTTGTTCAGCGTTCTCTCACTTTATGCATATGATACTAAATTCCTAGTTGTATAATCAGTAGACTTTATCAGCACCAGCCTCATTCAGAAAGCGTATGTAGGTTGTGTAAATAACAATTCAAGATTTCTGCTCGTCGTTTGAAAGATCATATAGTGCCAGACAACCTTTATACTTCACATGATAAATCTCTTCATTTTCATTTCTTCCTGAAGTTGACTCTTGAACAACTGCTGGTCGACAAACCTATCTCATTGATACAAATTGTAATAACTTCGACTAACTTAGTGACCGGGAGAAAAAGTTTAGTTGCATCAACTTATTTTGATTGGCGACCATATTTCTTGGGGAATTCTAAGTTCACAGAAGTCAGCTCAAATCACTGGACTACTAATGTATCAGTAGAATTGAAAAGCACTGATCCTGATTGTAACGTAAGTTACCACAATATAGAAGCTTTTGCAAGTTTCCTTTGAATGAACAGAAAACTTCTTAACTTTTGAGATTTGCGTATTTATCCGAAGTCAAGTCTGTCGTAGCGTCTGTTGACAAAGTTATCATTCATTATGACTCATGACGACCGTATGTTCTTATGAAATAAAAACAGAAGAATTCCTGTTATAGTTTTACGTTTTATAGGTCCGTGACAAAACAGTAATGCACCATAGGAAAATAAAAATACAGAAAGCAGCCAAAGAATGTTCATTTGCCAATTTCTGTCTATAATAACTGCACTAAGAGAGGTGTACACAAGTGAAAACGTTTCCAACAATAGTTTCTAGAATGGATTTTACCTAAGTATTTTAAATGCCTTGGTAAGGGGCGCCAGTAATCGTTAGGTTGGCAAAAATACCGCTTGAATTTGTTGATTTACCGAGAAACCAATCTAGAAAATCAGTTCTCAGCAGCACTGAGCTCCAATGATAATGTTTCAGATCACAGTATAGCGCTTTTTGATGGAAATAGGCGGGGCAAAAAGTTCAAAGAGGTAATGGGTGGACAATATGCTAATAATAAGTCCAATAAGATCAGTTGACACATTATTGTTCAATATTAAAAACCCTTGGCTGTTTCTACTTCAGACTGGTACAATAGCATGGAGCTTCAAATGTAAGCGCATCAATCCAAGCTGCAATACTTCATAAAGGTATCGGAAAAAGCACCAAAGAGTTAATTTTGATAGCATACACTTACTGTACAGCTCACGTTAATTAGTGGTGAGAATCGGCATGTGTTGTGTTGCACTGTGTGACATTTTTGTATTAGTTCACACTTCGTTTTTCGTGTTGAACCGTCTGCTGTGATTTCTTGATGCAAACAAACCAGTTTTATTCCAGAAAAAGGTTCATATATTCGAAGTATATAATCCTGGAAAAGCGACAGGAGCCTAACTTCACTGCTTTCCAGTGGGTAGTAATGAATTATAATTATGCTAATCATATCAACACAGGTAGGTCACATATTTTCCAATATGGTGATTGAACATTATCAAAAGCCTGTATTCGTTGGGATATTAACTAACAGTTTGATTCCGATCAAGAAGCGAAGATCTATTTGCGTAACTAGAGTGACAGAAGACAGAAATTTACATTCCACTCATTCAAGTGAATATTGGGTCATCACTTAACGCCTGAAGCGACGCTGAAACCTGTATAGCAGTTCAGTTTCATAGACTGGTTAACAAGGCTCTGAGTCAATGAAGTAGGAACCACTGATTCGGATCCCACTGTTAGCGAATTTCGCATTTACCTTCAGTCATAACGTTGGTCTGCTAACGAAGACTGTCTTAGATGTTAACAACTATGGGTTTAGTAGTCTTAAACAAAAGTTCATTACGATTGGAGTATAATAATAAAAACCATTTTTTTACATACTGGAGTTCATGATAGGATCCATTTATGCCAAATGTCGAACACCTTAGGCTGATTTCACTGGCCTTCGTCAACAAAATCATGAGGCTGAATCTTCACCTAAACTTGAAATGTAATTATTCCCTTTGGTTTTTAGAATTCTAATTTTGGACATTTATCACGCTTTAAGATTGAAAGTTTTTCTGAAAAATCACTCTTAGGTACCTGCAGGTATTCTTGATTTACGAATTTCTCTAATATGTCCAAAAGAGTGTGTCAAGTCAAAGTGTTCTTCTCAGTCAAATCATCCACAGGATTCAAAAATGTCTGGTATTATTCATCATCAGCCTTGCATACTTAAACACCTATCACCTTCAATAACACAAGCACATTTTCAGTTGGAATCAACTCGATCTGCTGAAAGGGAAAGTTCATTTACCAACTATGTTCGCCAGTGGTGGCGTGAACTAACACATTTACGTGAAGGTTTCTTTTCTGATAGAATTATCAAGATATTTGCTACTGATGAGAATGGTCATACACAGTCAGTTTATCTTTTGAATAGATTTTTAATATTAGTATTTAAAGTATGGTTAGACTCAAGGTTTTAGATATAAATTTTTCATACTATAACATGGTTTAGTTGCCTGATTGTCTTTTTTAAATTTTACTTATTCATTCTGGTTATCTGCAGCTAGTGAAAATTATGAGTTTTCTGCTATACAGTTCTCTACCAAGACAATGAAGAACCTATCATTTACCTGATAATTTTACCTATTACCAACTATTAACCAACAGAACACCTGGAAAAAAAATAAAATATTCGGTGACGTAGAATCACCGCAAATGCTTGCACAATTATCAGCTGTTTATAGTGGAAGTAGTGCAACCGAATGTAATCTAATTTTGAGATTTTGATGAGATTTTGTTTGTAAACCAAAGTATTCTGACGGAGAACTTGTATCCTTGATACTGAAAACGAAGTGAATAAAGCAAGCGAAAAAACTGCTCAATCTATGTGCATCTGTAGACCTGAATAGCTGAGAACACACTCAACCAACCATCAACACTCGCTACTGGGAACGAGATAACTGGAACACCAAATAGTCATTTATCTCATTTCAAATGAGCTCATTGGTGGTATGCTTGAATTGATCTAAATCACTAAATCAGTTGGTTCAAATCACCTCAAATCTAGATATCCAATAAGATAAATCGGTAATGCCTATAACCAAAGAGGGTCTTTGCAAGTCGCTCACTAGACAACGGTTTCATCTTAGCATATTAGTTCTCAACCTTTTAACTCACACTTTACTGAAAATCCTCTCTACTTTGGACTATTAGGCTGATTTAAGCCAATTTAAAAAGATGATTAGGTCATCATTGGGTAACATACGCCCACATCTGACTTCAGTTGTTATGCAACACTGAATCATATTTTTTTTATGTTGAGAAGTGGTTCAAAATTTTCCATATGAGTTTCAGTTAGTTATAACCGAGGCTTTGTTGAAATTTGGAAAAGTGAATCAGTTTATTCAACTACCTATAGTAAATCAAAGTTTTCAAAGAAAAAAACCAACTTTTCTTAAAATATTGATGATGGATTCATAACTAGAGAAGAAATCATAGTAAGTATCATCAAGTTTATATATGGACTTGTCAAAAATTCAAAAACAATACAAAAAGGTCAGAAAGAAGTTAATTCAAGTAGAAAGATTGATGTTTGGAAGCTGAGGTATTCATTGTAAAGCCCAATTCAACTTCTTGAAAACATCACCAATCCGTATCTCTAAGGTGCTCATGAACGAGAAGAAGCAGTTTCAATGAGCATAAATTTAACCTTAACTGTCTATTAAACTTTTATTTTATTATGGATTGGTAATTTTGTATATAATCAGTAGTTTAAAGCCTGTTTTGCTCATTCATATGTTTTGTGTAGGATATAACAGTGTATTTGGTCAGGATTTTTTATACAGCTCTGTCAGTTGTCAAGTTATTCTATGGTCTGATTTTCATATAGAATATGAATAGGCCATCATTTGGGTTCTTCGGCTACTGTGATAATCATGAGATAAAATAACAATCGATATCTGTAAATGACAGTCAGGAAAAACAAAATATTCTGAAACACATCGACTCCAATCTAGTTAATTTACTCAAATTGTGTTGTATAATATTATTCTTGATACAATACACTACAATATTTTGCAGGCCATTTGTATACAATGCATCTAGTTCCTAGCATGAAATATACAGTCCCTTAAAATTATTGAGTTAATGCATATTCGGTTACTAAAATTTAATGTTTACTTGATCAGAAACTGAGTCATCATTTCTGCACACACGTTAGAATACAATAGAGACAGAAGTCCAATTCTACTTCTATTTTAGTGACTGTTGTTGGGAAGTCTTAGTCAGTACTCATTTAGGCGAAATCGTCTTCTAAGCAGTCAATATCGTTAAAAGTTACCAAGAAGAGAAGTTGGCGAAAGTATTGGAGAATAAGTCAAACTTCTTGTCGTAATGACGATTTTTCTGAAATTGACCATTGATCTGAAAGTAAAATATCAGTCATCAGACTAAACTACCTTTACGTATCACAAATAAGAAAAACAACCATATTGGTCTTGGTGACTAGCAGAGGAACCCAGGACACACGTTTCGTCCTATCTGGGGCTCGTCAGCTAGATGTACCTGCACCCCAGTGAGTGATGTTGTTCCCACTCAGGCTGGAACCCAGTACCCTTCGCCCCAAACGCCACAGCGCTATCCACTAAGCCACTGGGGCACGATAGCCAACTCTTGTGCAACGGGTGTCAGTTGTCATTGTGATACTTGCAATTTCCAGTTGGTATACAGGGCGGAATTGCTCGACCTCTGTTGGCAGGTGGGCTGCTATGCTTAGTGCCTTAGTGGATGACGCTCTGGCATTTGAATCGAAGGATACTGAGTTCGGATCTCAGTGGGAAAAACACTTACTGGGGTGCAGGTACATACAGCTGACGAGCCCTAGATAGGACGGAAAGTGCGTTCTGGATTACTCTGATAGTCACTAAGATCAAGATAGCATCATGAATAATCAGCAGTATCCAGGTATCTGCGTAGGAAGTATACATTTTCATGGCTATATATACAGTGAAACCAGTTTTAATGCTAAATCATTTATTATTCTTTTTTTCTACTTGTCTTAACTAGATTTGTCTGCAATTATATCGACCCACTCAGCGTTAGCTTCTTACTGGAGACTCCATATATTGCCGCACGTTTTGTCTCAAGTATACCATACGAACCATTTTATGGTGTTGGAGCTGGGATAAAAGAACGTTGGTGTTCTGGTGAGTCCTAGCAGTGTTATACTTCCGTATCATTTCTGTCTCTTTCCTCCTTTGGCGAAATGATAATTTGCAAAACGGTAGTGAATTATTATCAGACTGTAGGGGAATTTTGTAGTTCAAGATGAGAATAATAATTCCCTGATGTTCTCCGAGATTCGAAGTTTGTTCTCGGATATTTCATCACCAGGCTAGGCCACTTCGTCAGCACTTGTTTCATACACCTGAAGTAGCCTAGTCTAGTGTTGAAATATCCAAGAACAAACCTAGAAGAACAAAGAACATCAAACAATGATTACTATCAGTCTGTATTTTGAAACTTATATTGATTATACTTGTGAGAAAATATGCGCTTCAGTTTTATATTATTAATGAGTAGTGGCTAGTAGTGGAATCCAGGACTCGTGCTTCGTCCTATTTGGAGCTCGTCAGCCGGATGTACCTGCTTCTTAGTGAGCGATATTGTTCCCATTAAGACTCGAACTCGGGACCAATTGCTTCTGACGTCAAAGCGTTACCCACTACGCCACCGAGTCACGATAGCCGCTTCTTGTGCGACGTGTATAGTTTTTATGTTATTACCCGTAGTATCCCGTCGTTGATTTGACCGAGCTCTCATACCGATAGAGACCGATCAATTAGGTCCAATCAACGAACAAAGACTACAAGTAACAACATAAGCACGCGTCTTGTTAAAATTCTCACCAACTGATCTTGAGATAAAGACTTCACTATGATTCCATCTTAATCGAAAAAGTTGTGATTACATATCTGATTTTCATTGGCATTTTATTCATTCAGTGTTTTGGGTGGGAAGAGAAACACATGAGTACGGTCACGTTTTCCACCACAACTTTATACTTAGGGTGTCTTGTTCATGGCATTCTATGGGACTTGAATAGTGCAATGAGGACACTGTTTGCAGGATAAGATGATTTCATTTGTTTCATATGATCTTCAGCTGCGTACAACCTAAATAAATAAGTAAACAATCGCTATAAAAAATAATAACATACCTTATATGAAGCGGCCTTAAGATACCGGCTAGTGTTTTAATGATCAAGAAAACGTAATAATTCACAACACAAAGGAAGTTATGGTAGTAAATTCAGTCAAAGTACATAAGCGTATGTAAGTCAAGGTGTGAGGAATGTTGGCTAGTGAGTGAGATAGGATTAGGAGTAAGTAGAAGGGGTTGCGTAATCATCTGAAAGTATTATGTTACCGAAATTGTAAGTGGTTGAAATAAAACTGTTGTAATAATAACAAATACGGTAAGTAATAATGAAACGCTAATCAATTTGAATATGGATATGAATAAGCGTAAAATAAATGTATTTTGAGGCCAGTGGGGATTTTATTTTTAAGGTAGTATTCATCACAGACTGACAACAGCTAGGGAACCATCAAAAACTTGCGAGCGCTAGACAACTGTTTCGTCCTAGTATGGGACTCCTCAGTAGTACCCACTCGTGACTCGGCTAGGGATCAAACTCAGCACCTTCAGTTCTTTAGGCGAATGGGTCAACCATTGAGCCTCTGGGTCGGAGTTCAGTGGTCCAGATTTTTCTACTCCTGTCACTTCGCGATATAGTGCAACTTATCACCCAAGGTCTTCAGTTGGCATCGGTTTCACTTACAACTAATTGACTCCACAGGTTACAGCTTCTCATTAGAACTTAGAGATATCCATGTCGATAGTCGTGCTATATCGCGAAGTGACAGAAGTAGAAAACTGGGGACCACTGGACTTCGACCCAGTGACTGAATGGTCAACGTGTTTGCCATGAAACCTCAAGGGCCTGAGTTTGATCCCTGGCCGGGTCGTGGGTACATACTACTGAGGAGTTCCATACTAGGACGAAACAGCTGTGAAGTTCTCCTAGGTTTTCAGTGGTTCTGCAACTGATGTCAGTTCGTGATGAATACTGTCATATGAAAAATATTTTGGGAAAGGTGAGAGGGTGAAAAGTCACTAGTTACCAGTATTATAATAAAGTGGTAGCTGTCTCATTTCGAACACACAGTTCCGGTTGAACTTATCGGATAGTTACGGCTTCGGCAATCTAAAGTAGGTGCGAGGTCTTTTGTCTGTTGACTACTATGAAGGATTTCATCGCATCTACTTGATGTCCCGTATCACATAGGTGACGAGCTAATGCGCTGTTGAACGAAACTGGACCTCTGAAATATAGACTCTTAGGCATGTACTTGGCAATCCAGGTAGACAGACCTCTTTCTACTTTTTCCTATGTACTTGCCACCTCATGTGCGTATGAATTGATAAATACAGTTGGAGTTAATAAGAGTTGGAACTTTGTCTAATTTGGACTGTGTAATTTTTCTTGTTGCTTGATACAATGAAACAAGTCTTGCAGCCAGATAGGTTCTGGGTAATGTACTGCTGATTTTTCTGTTGATTCTTGTCGCAAGATCATCTCCCATAAAAAAATGTAAGAAACACTGGTTTCTTTTCAACAGTAATACATTCGCCTCTCTTCTCCTTGATATTGAATTAATTCTGCATAGATATCATCGGATAATTGTTGGTATGTAGATATTGTTCGACTGGTTGAAATTCTTCTAGAACTTTTTCTTGGGAACATAATCTTTCTTCCCTTTAGTATAACGTCCGCACTAAACGTATCTTGTAACTGATTGGACAGAAGTTTAAGTGCTGACTGCTTCATGTTGTTTTGCGGTGAGTGCTCCTCTCTATTGTACCGTCTTCTCTAAAATAAGTCGAGAAAATTCAGTAACTGCTTCACTTCACATTTCATCGTAAACTTAGTGCTACGATGTGCATTGTTGGAATTTTGAAGCAAGCTTCCTTGCTTACTGAGCGTTTTCAAAGATAATAGTGGTATCCTCAGACTAACTTAAAAAAGCCTGGTTTAATCGATCGCAGGTTTTAGAGTGTTGTTTTCTAAATGTGACATGAAGATGTCTCCCATTACTCTTTCTAGTGGGGTTTAGCTGCAGTGAATATGCATGTTTGTATCTGTTGTTGGCGAAAGTTAATTTTTAGAGCGAATATTCTGGACAGTGTTACATCCTGGTCATAGTCAAATACAGATGACTGATAATTTACTTTTCGACTACAGAAACTTTCTGTATCCTAATTTTGACGACAATTTGTGGTAGAGGAAGTAATCATTTTCATTTCTATCTGTAATTATTGTCAAATTTCAATGTTTTGTGAATATATGAGTTCATAGCATGTTATAATAAATGTTTATTCATTCCTAGGATTGGCTTTTGTCTCTGCAAATTGTGGTGATATACCAGATCATGCTAACCTTCTATGCTCTCTGCTATTAGGCTATGGACTTGAAGCATATGTTGCCTTAGGCACAAGTCAATTTAATATGAACAAACAAATCATAACTACATCTTTACATCCATATGCATGGGTTGTAGTTTGTTCTGTAAGTTTTCCTAACAAATTATAGTTAAAATAGCATTTTTTAGGTTCAAATATTTCTTGTTTCCTTTTTCCTGTTTATCAACAGCTTAGAGAGAGAAAGAGTCTGTAATCATGTATAGATCCATGCTGGGTTCGAAACTGGGTGGAAACAACATCACTCACTGGGATGCAGGGACATCCAGCTGATGAGTCTCAGATAAGATGAAACGTGGTTCCTAGATTCCTCTGATAGTTATCAAGATAAATGTAACTCTATGAGCTGTTTAACACAATTGCTAATTTGACTCAGTAAGACAGGATTTTCAGTTGTTTTTCCTGAAATATTGCCAGACAAACACTATCTAGACGTTTATTTCACGTTCAGTTGCTTAACACAGTTGTTCGCTGCATAGTTTGGAGGACAGACAGACATAAGAGACATCGAACTTGCTGCAGTCACTTATCAGTCCAACTTGTGAACATCACACTAAAGTGAAGGTTATTGACAGGATACATAGAAAGCGAAACTAATGGTAAATTCAGTCATCAAAAGCAATGAAACAAAAAAATAGAAATGAATCTATCTTGAAGTAATGTTAGAAAGATTTGTAGCTCAGGATAAGGATGATAGTAAATGAGCTTAACGGAATGAAATTTAAGGTCAAAGAGGTCAAGGTGGGACAAAAATCCCTTCCTCAACCTCCGTTGGACAACACTCAAGAAAAATACTATCTTATCATCCTTGTAAATTTCAAACATTACCTTACTCCTTTATGAGGTTAGTGCTGAGGATATCACCAATTCTGTTGATGAAACTCTCATGATAAATTGCCAGAGAGCGTTGAACCACCATCATGGATCTGTCCTATTCCGCTCCAATCGTTCCTTCATCTCTATTCAAAATATGTTAAAAAAATGAATAGGGGTGGATGATAACAAAGATTTTTAGATGGAGACGGAAAGTGGACCTATCTGCAATGTTGTGATAAAGTTCGATTCTAATAATGAGGAATCTATGATTATCGTATTTCAGTACTGTTGCAAAAATTTACTAGGATGGCTACATTACCTCATATCATTCTAAACAACAATCCGACCTGACCCAATTGCAGCTAATATGGTGTGCTGGAGTAGATGACTGTTAGTCGTGTTTAACATGTGTTGTAGCTACCTCAGTAGAAGTAACTCAATGACCTGATAGACCTGTTAAAGTTGTTCTTCTAGTTCTCTCTCTCTCTCTCTCTCTCTACTAGACAAAATTGTCGCTCACACAGTAGTTGTATCATACATGATACATGATGTATTGCTCATTTCTTCAACTCTAATTTCCAGGATGATTATCACAAAATCACATTTTGGGATTCAATTACTGGATGTCGTTATATCCATATAGCTGGATGTTGTGATCAAACGATATACCCCTCTCCATTCTGTACAATCGGTTGCATATATAACCACACCTCGTTTTATGCCAACATTCAGTCAACTGATAAAGTAATGGATTGCCTATTTAACCTAAAGGTAATTTTACTGTACTTTAATGAGAATCTGTTAGCCGATTTCTAAAGCATTGAGATTATATGTATATATTCATGCATATACTGATAACATACGCAAAACTAGCTGCAGCCGTCTCAGTCGATGAAGGTCCACAACAGCATCAGCTGACTAACCTCTGCTGCCCAAAACTCAACGCCTGACTTCTGCATTACTCACATGGTGACACCACAAAACACGGCATATAATATGAAGGTAGCGGTAGTTAAACACCTGAAGCCTTCTTATGTTTTCTATCCTTAATAGCCATGTTTTAAAAGCTTACAGTAGAACAGACCGGGCTGCAGTCAAGTAAACTAAACCCTTAATAGACAATCGGATATCGCGGCGGCGCCACAGATGGCGTAAGTTGGCAAAAGCCAACCGAGTCTTTTTTGTCTGTACAGAGAGTTTGTTGACCACTGACCCAAATAAATGAAGTGTTTAAGGCCTTCAATCTCTTCACTCTCTATTGTTAGTCAGGGTAGCGTCGAAAACCAGTCTTGGAGCAACAATTTGCACTTGAGTGGCGAGAAACACATCCCAAACATTCTTAAATTGCAACTCAGGGTGTCTAGATGACTGCATCTTCTCAGCGTCTTCACCTAACAGAACTTTATCATCTGTGTATTCTAGGTCTACCAAAAATTCTCCTGTGACTAGGTTAATCCTGTGTGGTTGGATGTCGAGAAGGAGACCTCCATAAGAACATCTATGGTAAAAGTGAATAGGACTGGAGAGAGTGGGTATCCTTGACGGAGGGCCACTTGAAGTACACAACTCACCCTCTATCTCACCATAGGCTCCAACACTCCCACAAGTTTTCGAGTAAAGAGCCTTAAATAGAGGGGTTTACTTATTCGGTAACGCTTTCAATGAGAGGCACTGCCAGAAGACTTCTTGATCGACGGAGTCGAATACCGTATTCAGGTCGAGAAATAAGGCGATTATCAGGCGTTGATAAGCGCGCCTATGTTCTAGAACCTGTCAGAGTGTGAATATTTGGTCAATACACCCACGACTAGGTGTGAAACCTGTCTGGTTTCCTCAGGCTTGCTCTTCCCGAGCTCCACTCAGGCGTCTTATGATTATAGAACCTAATATCTTAGATACTATGTTCGTCAGGCTGATTCCTCTGTGGTTATCACAAGGGGATTTCTCGTCTTTTTCGAAGACTTAGTTAACCAGTCTTAGTTATATTGTGTTCTCTGAGCTGGATTGTTTAAACGCAGAGCTTTCATTGTCTTTATAGACAAAATTATCAGTGCGATGGAAGCTCCGCAATTAAACAACCCAGCTCAGAGAACACAATGCAACCAAGACTATCCACCTGAGCTACAAATACTCTTCACCAGTGACTGAGATCAGTCAGAGAGGATCATATTTGACTCCCAAATACTAGTTAATACTTCAGTTGACTAAAATCACTCTGCCACCGTCTTTATATACCTCAGGAACTAGTCCATCTAGATCTTCTGCCCTTCCTCGTTTCAATAGACCAACCGCTTTCTCGATTTCTGCTGGTGTTTGGGTGCAATCTTCATAAATCTCATTTCCGCAATGCACCTGACTGGCACTCTCGAAAATAGCATTCTGTGGAGTAACATTAATTTATTTTAGCTCACAAATATTTATCAGAAGCAAACAGTCTTTAAATTTTGCGTTCAGTATATAGGAATCAGACCTACCTAATGATGTCGGATACACTTGCAAAAAGTGTTGGGGTTGATGAAGTGTACTTGACGAAAGTTTTGTTAAAGTAGACGGATGAATGTCGTATGCACCAGATATGTCTAAGTTCGACAAATTGCTTGTATGTTCATGATAATACAGCGTACTTCTATGAGTTTGACAAGCATATGTTGGTTGAAATAGAAAACAACATATATGTGGAGTGATGAATTCTAGAAGTTGACCTCTCTTTCTAGAATATTCTTTCTTTTCTTCGATAAATGGTTAGTCTTTGTACAGACATAAGAATTTCATTAACTTTGATCAGTTTTCATAGACCTACAGTTATGTTATCCTTCATCTCAATAATCTATATCCTTGTCAAATTTATAAAAGTGCGTTGTATATTTTGGTTGTTTTCCTTGTTGAAATCATAAACATAATATTTTATAGTATTCAAAGCATCTGGTTCTGCTACCATTGATCTTTTTGTTCTCCTCAACTTCTAAACTTGATTTGAATGTCTATGAATGAATTAATACTATGCATGAAATTGGGAGTGATAACAAATAAAATACTCTACATAGGCATAAGGTTGCAGTAAGTCTACATGTTGTGATGGGCTGTTTGCATACTCTCCACATTAAACTTTTTGTTTGAACGCTTATATTACTTGATTTGTATTAATCGTTGTGTATTTTGTTTAACATCTTTAAACATAAGGATTCATCAAAATGGCGTTCTATGTCATCTGAAGTTATTCAGACAGTACATAAACACTCAAGTTTATACCTGAGAAAATTGAATCCTCCTATTCAAAACCTCGATGAAATAACAATTCACTGTCGTGAAAACTTGCGTTGTTTAGCTGATAAATGGCGTATAGAAAAGTTAGGCTGTGATAATAATTATCTTTGGGAGTGGGACAATACACTGGAACAGTTATTGCTTCCTTTGATTTCGTCATATGAAACTGATCAAAAAAGACTGTCGAATTATTGTTATCATGATAACACTGGACAAGTAAATGATCAATTGGAAAATGACTTAATTATTTCTTCAATCCATCGTTATGTACCTAAAGATTTCATATTTAAATCTTATCCTATTCAGGTAGGTTATGGTTTCATTTGTATACATGCATTGTTACTTGGTGTTTTTTTTGCTGAGATTCATATATTCATAAAGCATTTATGACTCGTTTATATGGGTGGGTGTAAATTTACCTCAGCTTTTTATTGCTATGTCAAATAGATGTTATTACAGCTTAATAGTTTTATTTATCTGCTGATGCATCTTCTAATGGTGTAAGCAGGCAAAATGAGACTAACCTATTCGACCTTAATATAACGAGAACTAAGGAACTTGGTTCCAGTAGAATTCCTTCGGCGTACTGACTACGCAACTAGAAGCCAATCATATCCTGTCGTTATTATCCGATACCCAACTGTATTGTCAACCACAATTTTCCTGAGACTTGACAGATTGAGATGTTTTTGTGCAAACAGATACATGAAGATATCCAGATTTATTTGACATATTAGACAGGCTAATAAAAAAGTGGAATCGACGAGATATCTTAGAAGTGTGTGAAAATTATATCCCATAGCAGGGAAAGCTGTAAATAACCTTTAGTGTAAACAGTTTATCAAATCGTTTCGTGGGGTATTTTAAGTTGAGAAATCACTAGAAATTTCCTATACAGATTGATAATAATAGAAATATTGCTTAGAATAAGAGACTATTCACTAGCTGTTTTCAGCGTTCGAACCATAGGTCTATTAGTTTAAATTACTTTACAGCGGAATCAAATTGAACAATATAGTGATAGAAAAAAGATAGTAGGAAGTGAAGAAAGACTTTTTAAAACAAAAGATTGAGGTAATAGGATGTTTAATTTTTAGAAAAAGTGAGACATTACGCTGAACAACATAATTAGTTCACTATGTGATTTGGTTTGGAAAATCTGTAGATTCATATAAACAGTTTGTAAGACATATTACTTATTAGCGCTTTTCCGAGGAGGTTTTCATCGGAAACTCTGTTAATGCTCCCGTTGTGCAGTGAATAACTCACTCAATTGTCCGGAATATTGAAGTGACATGTATAATTTTTTAAAAGTTGTTCATTGGATCCACTTATATCAGAGAACCAATAAAGTCGAAAACGAATCTAATACAATCACCAATGAAACTTGCCATAATCGAATGATTTTCATCACCTTAAAGTTAATTCAAAATTCAGTCATAATTTAATCAAGATTTAATTGGGTGTAATAAACAATAGTGCTAGTTGACGTGAACTGAAGCGCCTTACTTTCATTAATCTATGTTAATTATAGCATTCAGTACACTACTACATACTTCTTTGGTTAGGCAGTATACTGACTCTCCGACAAGAAGTGTTTCAACTTTAATCTAATGATTCTTTCCATTAAAGCTTTACTATATAACTATCATTCTGACTGTCCGAGATAGCCATGGTTTGGCAGACTAGTATTAATACTGGGTGATGATTGAAAGTGAAATAAAAATTTGGACTACGGCTGAATTCGAACCAGCGACTGCTGGGTTTCCGGCCTAGTACTCTACCAACTGAACTACGAGGCTCAACTACTATGTGAATTCGTGACTTGTTACTACCACTTGGTCGTACTCACACTGGCTGCCTAGTCAGGACTTAGCATGCAAATCAAAATCTAACCGAACTAGAGAGGGGGAGCATCATATTAATTATCATTCTAAACATCTGAGATAGATGTGGTTTAGCAGACTACTATTGACACTGGGTGAGGAATGAAGGGGAAATGAGAATTTGAACCGCGGCGAGGTTCGAACCAGGAATCACATACAGGAACTTGTTAAAAACATTGTTTTATAAGGGTCAGCAATGATGCCAAATGGGATTAAGTGTGAGGTCATTATTCAAGACTATAACGGACTAATGTTGTTCACTCAGCTGTAATTATTATCACTAGAGTTATTTCTGCAATTTCAGTGCAATTTATTAAGACTTACGAAGTAATTCAACTGAGTAATGATTCTATACTCATAGAAAAATTTTCAACAAACTTTCTCCTACCGATTCTTTTTTCGTAAAGCTATTTCATCATAATCCGCAAAGGATACTACGCAGTTGCTTACGTTCTCAAATGTGTCGAGATATACTTGGTTGTCGTGGTGATCATGTCAAATTCGCGCTTGGGCTACGCATTTATTCCTATGCTGAAAGTGCAGTTGTTACATGGGTTATATTTGCGTGCTTATACAAGTCTGTGATATAGATTTAATTTTTATTTCAGTGGGTCGTTTAAGAAATAACCATTATCTGAAGATATTTTATTCATTTTCATTCTAGTAACTTATTGTTTTTTTTCGCCGTGCAGATTTGTAAATAACTAACTTTGGATTATTTATTTATATATGTGTAAGGTTTAGAAAATGTATTAGATATATGTACCCTTTTTCCTCTTATTCGTACTATGCATTCTGCTAGGGTTATCAGTTTTAGGTATGAAAGTAAACCGCTTTGACTCATTTGGAGACTGCTACATTTGGCGTACTACATCAACTGTAACCTCCTCCTCATAACAGTGTCTACAAGTTTCAGCAAGGCATATCTGCAACCTCAAAGGAACTAACATCTCGTTGAAAATTTGAACCACTGTCACCCAGTTCTACAGTCAAAGAATTTAATGCAGTTATTCATACCGCTATAAGCCATTTGTAGGACTGGATAAGGGACGTTGATCGGCAACTGTAGAGTAACAACTTTCAGCTATACAATCTGTAACTTTAAAATTGCGTGACATAGATTTGAATATCTGAGGGGAAATCAGTCCCCCTGGAGTTTTAGATAGGCCTTACCGACTAGTGCCGAAAAGTACGAAACCTAGATCAAAGTTCCCTATTGTTTGCCTCCAACCAGCTAACACCAATTAGAATGTGCATCAATCCTAAGTTTCATATCTTAGTGACCACAGTGCAAAATGATCACTAGAGTTCAGTCAACACTTGAGACTAAACAACATGAAATTGGTTGCTCTGCGATGACCAATCACTGAATTTCCGCATGCTCTTTATCTCTTTTCTTTTGCATAATTTTTGATGACGCCTAGTCGTATTACCGTTTTATATTCTTTTGTCCTTTCCCTTAGTAATTTCCACATAGACAGTCAACTGTACGTTTGGAAACCTCGACCGGTACAGAATTATACCAAATTCTGAGTTGAGAATTAAGACGGTAGCTTTGCAGAACTGAGGACTATGTTATTACAGCAGATTCTGAAGTCCATCGCCTTACCGAAAGAATATCTCAGGAGATTGTGTAATACAGTATTTCAGGTCCCTTTTTCATGACACATTTCGCAAGTTGTTCTGGTTCGATGGCAGAACTCTTACGATAAGATTTAACTGGATCATTCTTTATCAGAAGATTTTTAAATAACCCAGCTAACAGAACACTAACCAAAAATGTAGAATTTTTATGATTGACTTCGATTTTTCATGGCCTTATGAACGAAAGTATAATTTTTAAGCATATGACTTGAACATTTCGGTTATTAAATACAGATGCGGTGAAATTTATCATCTGAGTTGGTGTTATCCCTATCTCATTCTTTTCTTGAACTAGTATTCCTGCAATCACCTGATTTCATTCTTTTTATCACCAACCCGTCATGTTTATTGGTCCAAATGAGAGGAGTTCAAGCATTTCGATTTGTTGAATCAGATTTACTAATTTGCACAGCCGATCAAGTTAACTACATGCGGAGAAACTGATGTCTTGCGCTTCATTCACCGTAATCTCGCTAGTGGGCACTGTTGATAATTGTCACTTTTCTCCTTGTACTCACATCATCCTACTAATGTTACCTCCTTGTCATCATCCATGTGTTATAGAACCATCACCTGAGCAAGTTAGATACTATCTGAAGTCTCTGGGATATGTTTTCGGCATTTTTATTCGTTGTCGGCCTCATAACGAGATGTCTGGATTAGATGTAGCTGCTAAAAAGTCAAGGATGGTCATGCTAACACATAGCATCGGCACGTAATGTCCCTGAGTGTTCTTCTAAGACGTACGAAGAAATGCAGACTTCAAAACTAGCATCTACGTGACAACCAGAATGGATAAGGGAAAAATTGAGGTGGTATGACTCATCCATCTGCACATTATCTTCATCTTTGTCGTTGCACCACGTTTCGTCATTTCTTGTAACTTCTTTTCTTCCTGTGTTTCTATCTTCCAGGTCTCTTAATAACATTATATCAGCCTCTCTACCCTCCTCACTGTTGCTGTATGCTTTATTGTACTGACAGAAGGCTTAGAAATGTGATGAGTTGCTCAGTAATGACATATCTGAAGTTGACATTTACTGACTGATAACCAATTCAGGAGATTTCATTAAACAATGTAATTCATCTAAATCTGAAAATAAATTAGTTGGCGTTTACTTAACTAATAAGTGCCACTTAGTTCGATTACCCGATAATTGCTAAACGTTAAAATAATAATTATTCAATGAGTTAGGCTGTTTTTACGCTAAATTTCAAACAATTTTAGAAAGGATATGTGAAATAAGCTAGGATTCTGCTTGTCAAGTATAGACCTCTAAAATACGGCCAAGAAGTTATTAGTGAGAAATTATGCCCTTTCGTGAATGACATAGTATGATTTTTGAATGTGCCTTTTACCAATAAACATGGTATTTTGTTTGGTTTGGATCAACACTTCCATTAGTTGCATGAAAATCTTGCATTGAGAAATACCTTGTAATATTTTGTGTCTACTTGCAACGTTTATAAGTAGGTAAACATTTTGTCTAACGTTTTTTGATCGACATCAGTTAGTAAAAAGGAACTGGACACTTGTCATATTTGTAACCCTATTGGAAAGTGATAACTATCAGAAGTGGAAAAAAAGTCAGCAGAAAATATTCTGGCTTTTGATTAATATATTGAGACAGTTTCCTCTGTACTGAAACTTAAACCTTCAACAAACTGAAGACCTGCTAATAAAATTGATGAATATTGATTGTGATATAGAGATGAATATCAAAGGGAACCACGCACTTGGTTTGACATATTTAATCGCTCTTCTGAAGTACAGCACTGATCTTGGCTTCAGCTTTTCGTCTGATCGTACTGTACTTCCACACAGCTTTTCGACACTACAAAATTTTCGCTTAATTTACTCTATACGGAATATTCATATGTTTCGGTAACTAGTTTACTAGTTACTAACCGATCCCAAGCCCGGATAAAGAGGGAAGGTTGGGCGTAGAGCTAGCAACTCTACCCCATAAAATCAATCCAACCGCTACAGAAACTTCAACTCACAAAGAAAATATAAAAAATAAAAACAAACTTATTCCTCGCTGGAATCAGAGAGACGAAATGATGCCAGTTGATGAAATTCTTCGGGAAGCCAACTGGCCAATATGTCTTCTCTCGATGAAAGCAAAAGAAAGGATGGGGACATAGAATGTTCGCACCATGTATTAACCTAGCAAGGCTGCCCAAATTGCCAAAGAGATGAGAAGGTAAAGCATAGAAGTGCCAGGCTGGGAATCTGCAAAGAATCTGCAGATGGAATGGAAGTGGACTCTCCAAACTGTCAACTGGAGAGGAGTCAATAATCTAATCTACTCTTATATTGTCACCCAGATGACAACCACAAGCATATAGACGGGTTGGCTGTCATGATATCCCCAACAGCATCGAAGGCACCTCATGCAGTGGAAACCAATCTCCTCCTCCAGCATCGGAATCATGACAGCAAGATTCAACTCAAAAGGAAAGAAAGTCACGATCACACAATGCTACGCTATGCACCTACAAATAATACAGATGAAGAAGAGAAGGAGGAATTTTATAGACGACTGCAATCAGTACGTGACAAGACACCAGATGGCGACAGCGATATCAAAATTCTAATGGGTAACATGAATGGCAAATTGGGAGAAGACAAGACAGGAAGAGAACCAATCATGGGTCGAGAAACACTCGGTGAAATGATGAAGGAGAATGGAGAACTGTTTGCAGACTTTTTTGATTCAACGACTTGGTGATTTGAGGTAGTGTGTACAAGCACAACGATATTAAAAAGTGATATGGATTTCACCAGAAACCAGGACACACTAAAAGTCAGTTTGACTTCATTTCAATGTACAGAAAGTGAAGATCGAGATGCAGCTGAAGAAGAGGAACAGATGTATGTTTAGACCACGTGCTGTGTAGTGCAAGGAACCTTCAAAATCGAGTTGAATGCCTTCAATTTAAAGAAGCTGGTGATAGACCACAGTTCAAGTTCAACACCCAGAAGAGAAACTGAAGGACGAGACTACAAACGACATTTTTGCATCAGCCATCAGAATAAAAGGTGAGATATTTAGTAACATCCCTGAAGGAACCTGCACATAAGAACGCTGCAACTCTTTGAAAGCTATGTGGAAAGAAACCATCATAAGTGTATTAGGAAGCAAAGAAAAAGAAGAGGCAAGACTATGAATGGATCTTGACGGACACATGGAAGCTGATACAGGAGAGGAGGATGGTGAAGCAGAAGATGAAAATGAACCAGTGCAATGCTAGGCAAGGATAAACAAAAAAATAGGAACTGAATACAACTTATAAAACACTACACTGGACAAAGAAATGAAGACGAGTGAACGGAAAGACGAAAGACACTTCTACGACACACTGGCAAGTGAAGCAGAACAGGCTGCATGTGGGAGAGACCTGACAACACTATATCAAATAACCAGGTTACTATATGGGAGAGGAGAGATCAATGCAGACGAAACCAGTGAAAGATAGTGAAGGAAAGCTAGTTACCAAAGAGGAGAAACAAAGGAAACAATGGGCTGACCACTTCAGAAAACTCTAATCGAACACTGCCACCACCTGCAACTCGTCCAGAAATACCACCAGCAGCCCAGCCACAGAACTACAAGTGAACATAAGCCCTCTGACAAAAGCGGAAGTCCTGAATACCACAAAATTGCTGAAATCCGGTAAAGCAGCAGGATCAGATGGAATCCCGTCAGAAGTACTGAAAACGCGCAGAGACAACAGCGGACACGCTCACATCAATATTGCACAAGGTTTGAAAGTAATGAAGGAAGAAAATGTACCTGCTGATTGGCTAAAAGAAGGGCTACCTTGTCAAACTTCCAAAGGAGGGAAACCGAAGTCTGTGCAAGAACTGGCGCGAAATCATGCTCCTGTCCATCATAAGCAAACTGTTGTGCCGCATTATACTGGAGGGAATAAAAGGTGCTCTGGATTCGAAATAACGACCGAAACCGGCTGGCTTCAAGAAGGACAATTCATGTGCGGACCGAATTGCAACGCTACGCATAATCAAAGAACAGAGTATAGAATGGCAGTCAACTTTCTACCATAACTTTATCGATTTTGAAAATGCCTTCGACAGTGTCGATCAAAAAGTAATTTGGCAGCTGTTTCAACACTACGTTTTTAGTGTCACAAAGCTTTTTCAGCCTCATTCATCACCTATATGAAAACGCCATACGCCAAACGATTCACAATGGAAACCTCAGCGATGCCTCTGAAGTGAAGAAAGAAGTAAGACAAGATTGCCTACTATCACCTATGATCTTTGTGATTGTGGTCTACTGAATTGGATCATGCAAGAAAATGTGGGGAGCGAGATGGGCACACGCTGTTTGGCCGATGAAAAGAGCCTAGAAGATTTGGATTTCGTCGATGATTTATGTTTAATGTCTCACAAACTCGAAGATCCACAGTCGAGAACTAACAAGTTGACAGAAGAGACGAGCCAGCGAAAACGGGACTTCAAGTGAACGTGAATGTAGAGAAGACGGAGGTAATGAAGATACCCAACGAAGAACAGCACCAACAACAAGCACCAATCACCATGAACAGGAGAAACCTAAAGGAAGTGGTCTCTTTCACCTACCTAGACAAGGCTGCATCGTTTCAGAGACTGGTGGCACAGATGAGAATGTCAAAGCCAGGATCGGAAAAGCTAAACAGGCCTTTGTTAATCTGAAACCAGTGTGGAGATCTACTGCACTCAGCATGAAGCGTGAACAAGATCCAGATCCTCAACACTAATGTCAGTCAAGTCAGTGCCTCTATGTGATGGCTGAGAGACTTGCCGCGTTACGAAGAGCATTTCCAACAAAATACAGACATTCGTCAACAACTGCCTACGCTCAATACTGAAGATCAAATGG